AACAGCAGAGCAGATGTTGGCCAACTTCCATGTATGTGTGCAACTGAGCACAAAAGAGAGGCTTCCTTGAACTTTCCCTGAATAAATAAAGATAAAAAAGTGATTAAAATGTATGATGTAAGAGTAAGAACCATTGATGTTTTACAATGTTACTGAATATTAAAATTCATCCGCTGGGGACCATGAATGTAACAAAATGTCTTGGCAATCCATCAAAGTTGAGATAAATCAGTCTGGACTAAAGTGGTGGACCAGTTGACCAACAGATTGATATTTCCATCACTAGAGCCCTGCTGCTAGCATGGCTTAACATAATAAGTTAAGCATTTTGCCAAAGAATGTAGGATGTTTTCATATCGTGGTATCAAACCAACCTCTGAGAATAAAACCATTTTGTTTTATGTAATGTGCCGAATAAATTAATAATCACTTGTTAGATGACCTATAGTGGCTCATCTGTGCCGAATACAAACACCATTTCACCCTAAGTTACAGGCAGATAGGACAGATCACTCTCCCTCTTGTTTAATTCCAAAGGTTCCTGTTCAGTCAGACAGACTTTCCTTTAAACATACAATCTATTCCATGTTCTTACTCGACTTCAAATTCTGATGCCATCATGGTGAGTTGTTATTGCTTAAATAATTTTTTCATTGAGTATTAGAGATGTTTACTATTTCATATTGGTGTATTTTTTAATCATGAAATTCTGAGCAATGATGTTTTAATTTTTCTAATTGATAGTGAAGTTTAACTTCACTATCAATTGCAATGAGTTGAATGCCTCTGACTGTGCACATATAAAATAATTAAGCTTTTTGGTTTAAATTTTGATTAGTAGATTTTTCTACCCTATCTCTTTCATAGGAATGGTGTTAGATTGTGATAGATAGTATTGTTTTAAGAAAATATGTGAACCTATATGTGAACCTCCTTTAACACTGTGATATTCTTTGTTTCTATGAAGAAATATTTGTCTCTGGCTTTGCTGCTTTGTGCTCTGCCGGCACTTTCAAATGCAGCATGTTTCAACTTTGGTATGAAATCAGGTAGGTAAACAAAAAATTTAAAATAATATGCATACACACACACACAAACATAACACACACACAAACTCACAATGTAGTGCCACATAACGATGGTACAGAAAGTTATTTACCAGCTGCTTTCCACCCATAGGCATGACTCACTGTATGGACCATGAGGATAACACATGGCATGCTGTAGGCTCCAAATGGAGAAACAGTCGATGTTGGGATTGTAGTTGCCTTCAACACAGTGTTGGGTGTTGCGATGGGTGAGTACAAAGATCACAACATCAGATTTTTTAAATAGAGAGAAAAATAATTCACCCCTGCGATATATATTCTACTGTTTCCTGTGTATTTGCAGGGTTGCAATCCCGGTAAACTTCCCTGTCAACTGTGTGAAAGTGTTTGACCCGGTGCTGTGTGAATACATAGTACACAAGAAGGACGACCCATCAGTACTCTGTCCAGTTCGTGATAGAAAAATGGGATGATGGAGTGTTGTAAGGGTCTGAAGTATTTTTTACCCTCAATCTGGAAAGAGAGAGGGGCATGCAGATGTGATCCCTCTCTGTCTTCTTGCCAGGAGAACACTGTTTTGTTGGTTAGAACACATAAGCAAGTGCAGAAACATGCAGAATTAGAAATAAAAATGCCATGCCACAAAAGAATCTATAAATAAATAACACATTTCTCATCTCAATCATGTTCAGCTTCTTGGGGAACACACATCTGACTGTTATATAGTGAGTCGAAGTAAAACTGTTCCAGAAATAAGAGAACCTTATTTAAAGTCCCGTAGACATTTGTGCACCACTTTCTAATAAGGTATAAATCACATACTTAGGTAGTACTTAACTAATGCATCACTCATGATTATTCAATTCATGAATGAATGCAGGATTTATTAAGAATTTCTGTTGCTCACTGTGACGACAGAGGCAGAGGGTCATCAGCAAACTGGACACATCTGAGG